AAACTGTCTTCTAGTAGCTTGAAAATATCGCAGGCAGCAACCTAAATAATACTGTAAGTGCCCTGGTAAGTACAAGAGCACATGCTGGAAAGGAAAAGAAAAATAAAAGGCTTTAGACCACCAAGCAAACATCAGTTCCACAAAGCAGGCATAAATGGATTGCAGGGTTTCATGGATGCTGAGAGTTTGAATTACTGACTGAGCTACAACTCACTTAGAGAAAACGTGGCTTTCTTTTTTTAGAGAATGCATCAAATATTGAATGCTACTGTTTGCTGTGCAATCTGCTGTGTGGACAAGTACATAAATAACCTTACATGTAGGGTCCTGTTTGGGCCAGTAAATGAAATTAAAGGAATGGAATATGTCAAAGAACCTAATATTAGTGCTCTATTATGCTGCATTGGCAAAGATGATAGATGCCAATTAAATTGAAATCAATGGTCATGGGTTAAACAAATGATGACTGACCAAAGCACTCCTTAGCAAAGCAGTAAACCTGTTCCCAAACTGCAATGCATGTTTCTTACAGTCCTGCTTAAAATTAAGCCTGTGCTTAAGTCGTTTCCCGTTTAGGGAAGGGCTGGAACGTGCACTTGGGGTTTAGTTTTTAATTGGGAGTATCCATGCTTACCTAGTTCTGTGTGGATAGGATTCATAGAGACAGCTCTGCGTATGCCAAATTTCGCTGGGGTTTCAGGACATGCTATTGCTGTATCATTCTCGTTTATATTTATAGTGCTCCAGCCAGCCTGGGGAACTATATAAGGATTTCAAAATCTCAAGCTATTTCTGCTCGCTTTGGTGATGCGTTCCCGAAGCTCTGCCCTTCAGTGGGATGGCAGGGGAGCAGCAGGGAGTGGTCCTTCTCCCTTGGTAGTAAGTGGGGTGCTGCCAGCCGGGGATGACTACCCGTACTGTTAGCTTTGCAGTAGGGGTTTATTTTTTTTTGCCTTGACAGATATATATTTTTAATAATGCGAAGTCTTTCTGCTTTTCTAAGAATTCAAGCATTTTTATTTTTACCCTTTTCTTTTTGAGAGAGATCTGGAAACCTCTAGCCCTATTTAAAACTGTTTTTTTTTTTTTTTTTTTTTTTTTTTTTTTTTTGTTTTGTTTTGTTTTTGTTTTTGTTTTTGTTTTTAAAGTTTTAAAAGAAATTTTCCAAGGAGGGAGGGGAATGTTTACTGATTTTTCCCAGTTCTTGCAGGAAGTGGAACCAAGGACTCTCTCCAAGCAAAAGCAGTCAAAAATCTCTGCTTTTTTTGGGAAATCCTAGATTTCTGGGGAATAGGTGCAGAAGGCAAAAGTGATGGCAGAGATGGGAAACTTTCATCAGCCCCTGTGCAGCTTTTTTTCTTTTTGATTAAATACCAGGTTTAAGTATCATCAACAATGTGAATTCTGAAGACTACATGAGAATGCACTTGAGGTTAGAAAGCTTGTCTTTTATTCAGGTATTAAAAAAAAAAAAAAAAGCCACTAGACTGTTCTTGAAATAAATCACTGAGAGGGTTAGATGAAGGCTGGAGGTGCACACTACATTTTTCATTGCCAGCTTCTCGTAGCCAAGGTATGTTGTTAAGACTAACCTTGGAAAAGCACTTCTCTTCCTGCATAGCTCTCCATGGTGGCATCATTAATGTTGATGGCTATAATTGACCGCGAAGAGCAGACCTTTAGTCCCTACCTGATCTTTCAGAGTGTTTATATGCTGCTAGCCTGACCACACAGCAGACTAATGAGCATTACACTTGACAAATATTGTCGTGCCTAAACAGCAGATAGTGCTTCTGCTAAGACAAGCAGCAAGCCTGGGGGCACGTCATGCTCAAATAGTGAAGTTAAGAACTAACATTAATTCTCTTCCATTCGCTGGGGCCTGATCCAGATCCCTAGTGCCAGCTAAGTCTTTCCACTGTGAGCTTTGCGTCTCTGTGAAGAAGCCCTTATACTCACAATGCAAGCAGTATACAAAATAGCATAAAAGCACAATGCAACTGAATAGTATAATAATGAATTTGACCATACGAGGTGTAAACTGCTTTTTGACTAGGATCAAAGCTCTTCCAGTAGCTGGATAAGGCATCAACGTGAAATGGAAAAGCTAGATCCTGATTACCTGGAGATTTAGATGCCCAGAGTCTGGTTACTGGCTTGATAGCACTCCAGATTTTGTGCTAGAGCAAAATATGATGAGCAATTTGGAAGAAATGTGAACCTGCAACGTTATTCCTCTTGTGTGCGCCTGCTGTAAATAATCTGCATGCAGAGTTCTGGGGAAATTCCCCCTTGCCCTGCACCAAGCCTGGTGATAAACCCCAGGTAATCATAGCACCAGGGTGGCCGAGCTACCTTTGGGCTACACACATGCATTTTTCTTGAACAACAAAAGTTTTAATGACTTCTTAGTGCTCTCTTTCTAGGTGCTATAAGTTGAGAGGGGTTCTTGTGAAATGAATAGGATTACTAATTACACACTTGTCTGAGTCTCTCTTGGGTCTGTTTATCTGGTGTCTAGACCTCGCTGTGGATTGTGTCACAACTCCCTATGATTTACCCAACTGTTCGGTCTCTCTTTTTTTTTCTCCTGACAAAATGCTTGATGTCAGGTAGGTGAGATACCCCTAATGTTATGGGGTAAGTTTAAGTAGCACTGCAGTACAGCAAGAAAATGTGGTGCTGAATCACCGTGCGGGGCTGGAGCATCCTTTCCAGCCAGCAGCGTGGCTCTGCGCTGCCTTGCTGCTTGTTGGGGACTCGTGCTGAAGCAATGCAATGTTGTAGGACAAGGTGCTGCTGACCGTTCCTGTCACCAGGTATTCATCTAGCTCACAGCAGGCAGCCAGCCCCACTGAAATGGAGGGGAATGAGTGTGCCACCGGGCTGCCACCATGTCCTTTGGAAGATTGTCCTGTTGGCAGGAGGCACAGGCCTGAGCCGCAGCAAGTGCAAGGGCTGGCAGTGCTGCCCTGGGGTGGGCACCGTGTCCATGGCATCCCCACTTCCAGCACACTCCACGTGCTCAGCAGATCCTCTGGGGACCAGTCCTTTGCGTTAGGATCTGTTCGTTTTGTGTTCAGAATCTCCCTAGACCAAAAACATCTAAGTGAGCAAGAACCCCCCTAATATTTTCCCTGTGCCGGGAAGCAGGTGCAGTGAATGCTTCCCAGCAGCCCTGCTCTCCTCCCGGTGGGCAGGCTGGGCTCGCTGTACCCATCAGTGCCCCCAGAGCCTCAGGAGACACTGGCCAGGCCCTCAAAACACAATGAGAGATGAGCAGCACGCAGTAACCGAGCTGTGTCCTCTTCAGACAGCCTTGATCCATGATGTTGGCTGTCAGCAAGGCCCCGCTGGGGATCACTGCAGGCGTGTTGATGCTCTGCTTCCTCTGCAGGGAGGCTCTAAGCTGCCAGGGCAGTTCTTTATCTAAATATCACCTAGTAGCTTTCACCTGTGTGCTATTAAACTGTTAATATATCAGGGGGAGAACTCTGTCAGGAGAGTGAGTTAGGAATACCTAAATGAGGTAGCTGTGTTATCCTCAGTAAAATATTATTGTTATTAAATGTTCCCACCAGATACTTGGACAGCTTGTGTTACAACTGCAAAGCTAACATTTCATTATAGGAAGATATATATTCATAATAGATTGCAATTTACCAAAATACACAGAGGGCCCCAGATTTGTCAGTGTGCATTTGCTCGGCGAGAAATACATCTCACTAAAAACCAGATGTCAAAATTAACAGTAGAGCTTTTGCAACGTCGGGAAGAAAGCTGACATTTCAGAGCTGGCAGTCCAGCTGTGTTAGCGGCATCAGGGAGCCTTTGTGTTAAGTATGATGTTTAGCAGCGGAATTGCATTAGGAGTTGCTTTAAATTATAAGTTGTGGGAAATCACCACGCTGTGTTGGGGACAACAATTGCAATCAGGTGAGATCCTGGATCACTCCCCACCCCCCAATATTTTCTCTATTCATTTACCAATGTTCCTATATGGCAAAATCTCAAAAGGTTGTAAGAGTGGCTTTGTTTTTGAGGAAATTGCTTGACATTGTCAGCAGCATCGCATTTTGGAGGCGGGTGTGGGAAACAGGAATTTGAAAGCTCTTGCAGATGTCAGAGTGACCATTCTGAAATGCAAATTACAGATATGAACCCTCCTGGTTTCTAACATGCTTTATCTTCCTGTTAACGTGACCTAACTTTCAGGGTCGGTTTTGGTCTGTAACTTTTTAGAACTGGTCTTATCCATGCATTTTTCTCATCTCTTCCACCTGTTTGTAGCTGTTAGCTACTAAGCCAGTCTGATGATTAGCTGACTAATTTGTTGGCACAGTTTTCTGACAGGGGAAGAAGGGTGCACACTTTTTTAAAAGTGAAGATAATTAACTATCGGAACAACGTAAGCACCAGTGGGTTCTCCAGTACGAGCAATTGTAATGTCAGGATTTTTTTCTGAGATGTCTCTGGTGCGGCAGATTGCTGTGACTCCACAGGTCTTTGGTCACCAGCTGAAAGGTGAAATGCAATCTCTCAGAGCCTCTGAATGTATTCAGTGGGGCAGATGTGAGCACCCCAGAGAAGAGAAGCAGCCTTGCTGCCGGGCTTTGTTGGGTGGTGACACCCCCGTCCGTGGGCAGGAGGATGCACTGCCCTACCTGGGGATGTGGAAGGGCGAGGCTCAATTCAAGCCTTTCAAGGCAAGGTCACGTTTCCTCTTTAAATTCCAGATAGAGATTGTTGTTGACCCCAGAAGCATTATGTGACCTTATCCACCACACAGATATTTTCCCGAGGTTTCCCATTAGAGAGGCCAAGGGGTGAGCGTGGGGGCGATGCCCACCTCTGAACCCCCCCCACGCCAAGCAGGGGTCTGGGGGGCAGGTACAGGGTGCTCGGTGTGATGAGCTGGGAGCAATAAGGGGAGGAACGTTTAGAGGAGAAAAAAACCTCCCCAAAGCCTGTTGGGGATGTTCAGCCCTCTCCAGTAAATCACTGGGGCGTGATCTTGAGCACCTATTTTGATGTTTTGCTAAGTGGGGCCTGGCAGAGGAAGAAGTCCTTAGGCAAATCACGATGTATAAATACCTCTGCTGCGAGTGTAACGACGGCTGCGGTGCTGCCGCACGACGCAGACAGCAATAAATAGGTTCCTGAATCGGAGAGAATCTCTGCTCTACTTCAGATGTGACTGCTCGAGCTACATATACAAAGTGTCCTTTGAAATAGCATCTGTCTGTGTTATCTTCCCCTGAAAGATGAGTAATTATGAGAATGTTATAATGATTTCTTTAAAAAAAAAATAGGTCTAAACAGCAATTGCTTTTTAGTGCAGGAGATATTTAAACATCAGTACCTTGAATTGATTGAAAAGAGCTGTACTGATAATGCAATTTTGTAGCTTATGATTTGCACTGAATGGCGCAGTGAATCATGACGAAAGGCTAAGATCTCAGATGTGGACCCCACACTGCACCCATGGCTCTGAGCTGGTGCAATCGTGTCACAAAGATAACGGCGTCCGTTTGAGAATAAATGACTAAATAAAATGCCACCACTACCAAAACAAACAAACAAACAAACAACAGAACTGGAAAACACCAAGAAACCAAACCTTCTCACTGCTGAGGCCAGCCAGAATTAATGCTGGAGGGGTCTTAGTGGTGTGCTTTTGTTCTTCACTGGTGGCCACGGGGGCAGTAGCTGGCTGTGCTGAACTACCTCTTAGGAGAGCCCTGTTCCAAAGGGCTACTCTGCATTCTTCTACACATTCGTGCCTTCTGTATTTCTACTTTGAAGGATTTTGAATGTCACACTTGTATCAAATTTGCATATCTTCTGCAAATTGTTTTTTTTTAACTTGCCCAAATGCAAAGTAGATTTATTCCACCTGGGTATGTAACCACGGGTAAAGTCTCCCAGCTAGCAGGCGATATTGGTGAAATCTGGGATCGCAGAAGAATTTGCATCTCCTTGAATCAGCAGGCAAGTTATTTATTCAGGCCTCCTTGGAATGAGTTCCCTTGCAGCGTGTAACCCAGCAGCTCCAGTGCCATTTATGTGTAAGGTTGGCTGCGAGACGCTCACGGCTCGTGTGTGCACCTGCAGGCAAGGTGAGGATGTGCCTGTGCGCAGCAGAGGTGGCACATACCAAAATGAGCAGGCCTCCTTCATGCTATTCTTTTAATTCCTTTTTGCTTTGGGATGGGGAGAGGTGGTGTAAGAGGTGGGGAATTTGCTCCAGTGTGCCTCTGAGCTGCACCCTGAGCATCATTAATCTCTCTTTGGCTGGAGGTCAGGAATCTTCCTGTACCCTCACTCTTGGTGTGAGGCTCTGCCTCCGCAGTGGGGTCTCAGCAACCTCACTCCTCATCCTCAAGCAAGTACTGACAGCCCCCTCGTGTTAAGTTTTGTAAACACTAATTTGTGACATCTCCTGTGACTTAAATCAAAGCACTCAAGTAAAAGTAATAATACCACTGTTAAAGGGAATGCTGCAGGAGGAGACGTCTGTCACCTGACGCTAAATGGAGACGATGCCAAGCGTGTTTCGGGAGCTGTTCCTAATGAGGAGGCACTGGGGGATGTAGCGCTGCTTTCTCAGCCCTGAAGCTATCGGCTCTGTGGCCTGCCTGGCAGAAAACAAGAAGGAAGAACATTGCTTATTTCAAGTCTGTTTTTGAGTTTTGCTCAGGTGCAGATAAAAGGAGGAGAATGACCTGGCTCCTGCAAGCACTCATTTGAATTGCAGCTGTGCAATCTGCTGCTGCGCCTGATCAAAGCGACCAAAGCCCTGTTTGTGCTAGGTGCTGTACAATTGCAAAGGTTTCTCCCTGTCCTGTGAAACCTCCAGTTTAACAGGCAGGACAGACTTACCTTAAATCATGCCTACAATATACAGCTCCTTCCTATTTGTCTCTCTTTTCATAGCCAGCCTGTTTGCCTTTCCTTCAGGTTTGCATTGGTTGAGTTGCATGCATCATTCTTCCTTTTCCTTTGTAATGCCATTAACTCTGTTGTGTTATATTAACTTTTCATGTCTGGCAATAATGGAAACAATAGAAGCTCAGTGGTGTTAACTGTCCAAGAATTTTCTGTAAGCATTGTCAGTATAACCAGAACACAAACTCCTAGGCAGGTAGCTGTGCTGGTTGTACCCATCTGCTGTATTCAAGCATGTTAAAGGATAAAGCAAGCCTCTGTCAACATAGAAGAAGCCCAAGCAAAGTGGGAAAGCAGACAGGATTACCACTAAGAGAAACATCAAGTTGTGTAAATTCCCAGTGCCATGAGAGGAGCAGGCAGCAGGAGGAAACGCCTGGAGGCATTGCCAGTGTCTGAGCTGTAGGCTGGGAGCGGGTGGGATTCAGCCAGCAAGGCTCACTGTAGAAGCCTTGCATGTGTCTTGGTGGGGGCAATGCTAGCAGAAGACTGGAGTTACAGCTTTCCAAATCACTTCTGCTTCTACTCTCCTCTATTTAGCTTCTTGGAAGTGGTATCTGTTGGAGAATGCAGAGCTGGATGTGACTCCAGGCTCCTGAAATCCGTATCACCAAGTCAAATGGACCGACATCTCACCGGGAGCTTGGTCTGAGCAGTGATCCTCCCAGAACTGTCCGTGTATCCTCTGACCTGAAAGTGGAAGCAGTGACTGCTCCGTGAGGCTGCTGGAGTTGCTCACACAGGCCTGAGCCCTGGCCTGGCTGCAGCTCGGCGGCGGCGCAGTCAGGTACGTGGGATGGGCACTGCCGCCCATCCTGGGGCCAGGGGCTGGCTTGGAGCTGAGGTGTAGAAGACTGGTGCCACATGCTGCCTCTTCCTGTTCCTAGTGCTCACAAATCATTTATTAAAAGGTTATAAATTTGGGCGGGTGCTGTAGGTGTCAAGAGTGTTTCCAACATTTTGCCTTTGCATTTCCTTTGTAAGTTTTTTTTTTTTTTTTTTTTTTTTTCTTTGTAACTGAATACCCACACTTTTTGGATGCCTCTATTCCTTGATTAGGGGAAAGCCAATCTAGTAAGTCAGAGTGCTTCTACCATGGAAATATTTAGCACCAGCTCTGGCATATTTATGTTGGCTCCCTGATTAGACAAAGTGCCAGGCTGTCCTTCGCAGCCTTAATTATCGCAACTTCAGGCCAGTGTTGCCTGCTTGCAGCATAATCCCACGGCCTAGAGTGAACTCTGAAAATGCTTAATTAAATGACATTCCACAACAGATTAAAGAGTCAGAAGCAGAAGATAAAGCAAATGGGAGGCTGTGACCAAAGGAGTAGCAGGTGCTCTTCCCTTTCAGGATACCACTTCTGACTTTGATTATTTCACCTTGAGCATGTTAGAAATAACAGCATTAATTGATAACGTTTGAGGGTCTGTACTTGGTTGCTCGCATTTTCTGTGCAAAGCGGTTCAGAGGTGTCTCATCTCTCCCGGCTGCTCCATCAACAGGCTCTGGGGAGCCTCCCTGATCTGTGTCAGCTGTGGATGCCTCGTCTCTGCAATCATGTAAATTATGACCCGACCGTGAAGCCCACTTGTGTGAGCAACCTCTGTGTGCCAGGTCATTGCCTCTTTTTTTTGTTTGGTATTAAAAAGAAAACCAAAACCTCTCCCTAAAAAAAAAGCATGCACATATTTGGAACAGGAGTGATCAGCTTGTGTTATGGAGTCCCCCTGGGAGCCACAGCCTACGTCTAACCACAGCATATCAGCATACGAACGCGGCAGATAATGTTACACTGCATAGATTAGGGCTCAAATCTTCAGCAAATCTGTTCGTAGCAAGAAAATGACAGCAAGGGGGGCATGTGTGGTGCACTGAGCATATCTCATTCAAAGGCCAATCTGTAAAGGCAGTTAGCACTAATATTGTGTTTTATCATATTACTCTTCAATTATTTGCTCCAACAGCTCTCTTGTCTTAGCTGAATAAACTGGCTGTGCAGAAGCTGACCTGGAGTAATTTCCTCTTTGCAAAGAGAAGTGGATCATGGGTGGATGTCGTGATGTTTCTGTGGGTTTGATTTGTGTGCTTTGTGTCCTTCTCTAGTCCTGTAACGTAATTTCAGCAATTAAACTACAGGAGGGGAATGAATTAAATGTTCATGCTAACACAGGAGCCATCATCGGGAAATAAAACACACAGGGTGAGGATGCTCCCAGCCAGAGCCCTCGGTGGGTGGGAGGTGATGTGCTGGGGCAGTCAGCACACGAGGGCTGGAGGGGGCTGTGGCTGGGCACCATGGGGGGGTCGCATCCACCCCCAGGGACCTGAGCCTGAAGCATCTCTCTTATCTTGCAAGTGGAAGGGCTTTAGCGGTCCCAGCCCAATCCCCAGTGCATATTTTGCCCATGTTACAAAACGTACCACCTGATTTGACATGACTGGAAGATTTGGGTGAGTGGAGGCAAGGATTTTATTTTATTTTTTTCCATTTGATAGCAGAAAGAAGGCGGATTATTCCCAAACTGCATCAGCTAAGATGTGCAGGGGAGTTTAGCACATCATTTCCCTCTCTCTGAAATGGAGAAGATAGCTATGTATTTTTGCTGAGCAGGGCTATTCAGGTGGTGAGCTCTTAGTGCCAGGGCTGGCAGGCTGCATGCTCCTGCTTCGGCTGCTTCAGCTGCTGCCCCATGACTGGTCCCCGCGGGGCGCGGAGCAGCACCGTGGAGCATGTTCCAGCATCAAACCAGCCCTAAGCCTCGTCTCCACTGGGGTTCGTCTGCACGCTGAGACGCTTCCGCAGAGAGCAGTCATCTGCCTGAGCACGACATGACTTTACTGAGCACAGGGCATTTACCAACATTAACATTTATCATCTGCTATTGCAGATTTCCTTTTTTTGCAAATGCAAAGTAGAAGAGTTTAAAAGAAGCGAGTGAAATCTTACAGCAAAAACCTCTTTTTAGGTATTCCATGGAGAAATAACCTGTGGCAATACATGTGGCGTTAAGGATTTTTTTTTACTTAGAGGTATTTTATGCTTGGAGCCAACAAGTCTGCACTGATTCCTATTCAGAGCTTTACAAGTGATAAAAAGCATCAGTGTAGATTTGTTTCCTTTATTCTATATTTACAATTTTTCCTGTAAATAAACTGTAAGCCCATCTCGCTCCAGTCCAAAGCCCCAGTTAGAGCACTCTGCTTCTCATGACATCTCTGCTCCATCTTGCAGCGTGTAGCTCCTGGCTGCTTTGCTCATCGGCTGGGTAGAAGATCAGCCTGAGTCAAAGCCTGGGGGTCTTGCCCCTGCTTAGCCTGCATAAGGCTTTTTTTTTTTTTTTTGTACGATTGCATGTACAAACTCGGCCTCAGCACTGGGCTTTTATCCTGGCCTGCGTGCAGCACCATGTGCAGACCCCGTCCCAAGGCCTCTTTTGTGGCTGGAGCAATACAAATGTCTTTGGATCCAGCCTTCATTCTTGAAAGCACTTCTTTGAATTCTTTGGACCTTCACGTGTCCTCCAGACTTTCGTTTAATGCAGTATTTTGGTTTGCGTTGTTTTGTTTTAAAAGATTTCAGGTAAGATTTCAACGA